CGCCCGGCGCGTACGAGTGGCACCGGGCTCGATACGGTCCGGGCGGGGAGAGCGGGGGATCGTGTGCCGAGGGTGCCCTGAGACACGGGTGGAGTGCAGGAGCCGCATCCTTTGCAGAGAGTTTTCGCTATTGCCGTTCACGTCATCTCTGGTGTAAGAAGAGAGACTCTACTGGCACCTGAGGGTGTGGGTTTTTGTGGTGTGGTTTTTTTTTTTTTTTATGTGTCCCCTTTTAATCTCCCAACTAATCGTGGTGTACCTGCAAGCAGAGGAAGCTTGTGTGTACATGATACATTTGTGCAGTTATGTACACGAGGGATACATAGACAGAGAGAGGGATGTGTCCATGGCCCTACTTGTCCACTGGTGCCTGGGGACTTGCCTCTCTTCTTTTCCAAGGTGAAATACCTGCCTCAGCTGAAGAAAACTAAGGGACAGGCAGCCCACGTGCCTTGTCAGGATAACGCCGTGAGCTGTCACGAGGAGTTTTACTCCTGCTGACCCTCTGTGTGCTCTTGTGTTGCCACAGTTTTGCTTGCCTAGAGGAGTCATAGTGGCTACTGCCTGGTTGAACGCTTACTGAATTTCTGGGCAGATTACCTTCTCTGAAGGGTTTCACAGTTGTCCCTTCTTGTTGAACAGCTAAGCAGATTATGTCCTGCACTTTAGGCTTGTTCTGAGTTGCAGCAATGCTAAGCTGTGGAGGAGAAGACCAGGTTTAGCTGAATGGAACTGTGTTGGAGGCCTTGTGATATCCTTCGTGGGATATTCCATCTTCTACTGCTGTGCACACCAGCCAAGTGCAGAAGTGTATGCTTAGGGTCACGGATGATTTTCTAGATGCACATAGACCCCGTCTGTGTTAGGTTGTCGGCAGGCTAAAAGCTGGTGTTCAGTCTAAGCTGGTTGTCCCAGGGCATCTGAACAGCCAGTGAAGAGAACAGTTACCACCAGCAAGCCCATCTTCCTTCCTGTTCAGATGAGGACAGGTATCATTTGGAATTTCAGCTGGCTTGAGCTGTTGTACCGATTGTAGCTGGTTCTAAAAAATCAGGCTAAGAGTAAGGAGTGGGGTTTCTGAAGTAATCAGTGCCATTCCAAAAAAAATCTTAAGTTATTGTCATGGCATTAGTTTTAATGACACTTAAATTCTTCTGCTCTGCCTATAGGTTGTGCACCATGAGGAAGCTTCCTTCTCTTCTGGCTAGGACACTCAATTCTGGGACCAGTGGCTCCTCAGTGCTTCCTGACATGTCTGAAGGTAAAAAAAATGGGCTGTATTTCAGAATATTTAGAAATGTTTCTAAGGAGTTTATTCTTTCAGGTGGTGGCCCTTCATGTGTTAATATGGTTTGGATAATGGACATGCCCTTGGCTGTTAGCTCACAGTGTGTTTAGGAAGTAGCAGAAAATCACTGTGTGTGTTTGGAGATTAATGGCAACAAATACACATAAACGTTGAGGTTGCAGATTGAGGAGCTTGTCTGGTGCTTTGGAAGAGCATGTAATTCTTTGCTAGAGGGACAACTGCTTCTCAAGTTGGCTCTAGATAGAAAGTCAAGGTAGTGCAGATAGGTACCATGGCGACTGGAGAGAATGGCCAAGAAATGGAAGAACTGAGTGGAAATAATGTCTTACAGAACTTTTAATGTGTCAATACTGGTAATTTCATAAACTTAGAGAAATCTTTTAATCAGATCAGCAGCATTGCCTTGTGAAAAGGCTCTTGTCAATAGAGCTTTTGTGTTGAAAGGTTATTTTAGCGCTCTAATAGTAATAAACTGTAATGTTCCTGTTTCAGAAGCTTTTAAAAAAAGTTTTCTTGCATTCTAATCCCATATACTGAGAAAAGAGGAGGAGGAAAAGGGCTGGAGATGGTACAAGTAATTCCTTTGTGGAGTCTTGCTCATTTCTGAGATATTTTCCTCTCTGTTCTCTAAATAGAAACCTCAAGTTATCCAGTAAAAGAGAAAATGAGGGTTATTTTTTTTTAGGTAACTTTTTTCATTATTATTAATAAACAGTAATTTGGGAGGTTAAAGGAGAAAGTCAAGGATGCGTAATGTTGCATACTTGCAAATTTTACCCTGTTCTTTTATTTGGATATTTCATAGTGATATCACCTAGAAGGCCAGTAAAAATAGCGAAGCAGTGAGGCCATCCTGGCCTCACCTCTGATTTGTTTCCAAGGAATACTAATATTTTTTTGACTATAATAACTGTAAATATTTGAGATTCTGTTCCAAAATTGTTCCAAAACATTTAAATAATGTTATACAAACTTTTGCTGGTCTGTAAATTAGTTTCCTTTAATTTATTATCCATGCTTTCCCAAAACACCGAATACTTATTCTTACTAGTTTTTCACATGATTTCTCCCAACTTTGGATCCCATTTGTAAATGCCGTCACTTCTTCCATGGTTCTCCCAAAGCCTACGCAAAGCAGGACTTTGGAAGTTTACTCTGAGATAACTCCTGTCCCACTTCCTGAAAAACGCTCCAGATATTCTTTCCAAAGTTAATGGCTTGTGTCAACAGTACATGGTAGCACCAAGTTTGAAAAACGGATTGGAATTACACTGCAAGCAGATACTACACAGAGCCAGTAGATAAAGGAACTGGAAAGCTGGCTTGGAAGGAAAGGACTCACTCAGTTGAAAGCACAAAGATACCGACTGTAAATTGGGCAAGAACAGGTTGCCTACGGTTTCTTGCTAAAATTAAGGAACATGTGCGTAAATGGTACTCAAGCAGGTAGAATAATCAGGTAACTCCTTAATAGATGCAGTTTGCATTGTTTCTTCTAATTGTTAATCTAATCTGTGTTTTCCACTCCACAGGACACTTACCCATTCATGTGAATAACGGTGTGTTGTGGTAACCTGTACATGTTTTAATATTTGCTATAACACTAAACTTAACTCAGCTACTATTTTTCCTTACTTCAGCATTCATGAAAAATAAAATGCTATTCTTCTTCTCTGTCGACTTGCTTAAAGCCTCTTTGCCTTCAGTGAATGGCTCGACCTTGTTTGTGGCAACGTTGTTGTACTAGATGTCTGGCAGCACTCTATACTTCTGGCGGCGTGCTGGATAACACATGTCTGAGAGGCTTGTGGGATACAAAATCTTTTACATAGCGACTCCTGTAGTACTTAGCTTCATTTCAGACATTTGAATCTGCATCTTTCACTGAAGTCCAGGCCAAGCTCTATAGCAAAACTGGTGGTAAAATACATCCTGGTGGTCTACTCAAACCTGAGTAGAGGAGGCACTGGCATAAGGGAGCATGGATCTCCTTGGCATAGATGGACACAGTGACCTTGACATAGATGGACACAGTGACCTTGTCCAGCTGCCCTCGTGTCTTTCACGACAGCACAGTGCAAGTCAGTTCATATCCTGCTGCTCTGGCATTAATGAGCCACTTACCACAGTTTAGGAGTTACTGTGAAATATGCAACATGATAATGAGGGATAAACCCTGTTTGCTGTCATTGTTTTGCGCATCTAAGACATTTGCCAAATAAGAGAAGATAAAGAGATTATGGGTTTTTATGCTTAATTACTTACTTAAATTTCTGTTGTAAAATAACTAATATCTAGAAGAGCAATATAGTTTTCCCAGAGGGAAATAAAGATAAAAAATATGTATTTATGAGCCTGTAAAATGGACTAGATTTAGCTTGGCAACAGTTTAAAAACACTTCTACACTTTGTCCCTTTTATTGTTAAAATAAAAATGATGTAGTCTCAGCCTGGCAAGTGTTTACTTGTACGCCTAAAATCAGAATCAGAAATATTAAATGCGACTAACAATGTATATACATGTTTGCAGGTTTGGACCTGAGTTTCTTTTCAGAGCTTTTTACCTCTTTGGAGTTGAAAAGGAAAATGAACTTAGTTTAAACAAAAAGAAAGTGCTGTTTATTCCTCCTCTATCCCAGCACAGTCTGCACACTATTGGAAAACTGAGGTTTTGTGTTCTGGAAGCTCTAACTTTCTGCTGATGCTGTAATGATCAAATGCATGCTATGGCTGCTTCAAAGGTGGAGTGTGAGTAACAGGAAAGTAGTACCTATTCTGTAAACAAGCCCACTGCTTCTTAAGAAAAAAAGAATCAGACCTTCCCCCCTTCCAAAAAAAATCACCTCTAAGATTTTCAATCATTTTCTTTAATTGAAAAAATTTTTGTTGTTAGAATTGGTAATGGAACTGTTCTAATTTCAAAACATGTTTTGAAATTTCCTAATTCCCTAAAGAAATGAGACCTAAGCAATCTCTTCTGTCTTTGCCTATCTTCTCGTCCCCCTCCTCTTCCAGAACCTTTTGTTGCTTGATGTCATCCAAAACAGGCGAACCCCAATCTCGAAGAGAAACGTCTTTCCACAACCTTTGTGAGAATTAGCTTCTGAATCAGAGGTTGGTTAGGGTGCCAGAGCTAGTGCTGGGGTCAGCCACGGACCATGGTGACTGCAGGCAGCTGGTGAGTGACTGGGGTCTCCGTGCTGGCTGGCCGGCAGTCAGCCGCTTGGCTCCGTCTGGGCTAGCCACGGCTCGTGCTGGTGCTTGGCTAGAGGGCAGGCGAAACAGAAGGAGGCTGGGGTGTAGGGAGTGGAGCTGAGGGTGTTGCAGGGGAAAGAACAAGAAAGGGGAGGTCAGGGGTATTGCAGTGGTGGAGGTGTGGGGGACTTGGGCAGGAAAAGAGCAGAAACTGAAGTGGCTGTGTGGAGAGGAGTGGGGCACAGCTGGGTGGATCTGGCTGAGAGAGGGGTATGTGATGTAAATAGCTAGGAAATCAGGCTCTTCGTGCTTCAGGATTCACAGGACAGCTTGCTCATCGCTGTGAATACTCTGACCGGGCATTTAGTTTGGAATGTGCCAAGCCTGATGATGTCTAATAACCTAAAAGTAGAAGGGATCAGCTTGTGAGTCACCAGCACTCCTGGTTTTGTTTCATCATAAAATTTGAGGGGTTTTTGGTAGCCCTTCCTTGATCTGTCTCCAGCTGTTTTGTCCTAATACTTGAACCCCCTTGTATAAAAATCTTTGTAAATAAGCAAGGAATCCCTACTATCCAGTTTTCAACTTTATTCTGTTCTGAGCCTGGGAATTGTTGCTGCTTGTTTTCAGGTGTTTCCAAATAGCACATGTTCACCTGCCTAATAGCAATGGAGTAGTTTGATAGATTTGATGGGACCTTAGGACACTTAATAGCCTCATCTGAGGAAAGAGTAGAAAAACTGCTTATGGGGAATATTCTTGAAATTTAGGAGGAACTTGTGCAGAGCTAGCATTAACTCTGGTAATGCAAACAGTTCCAGAAGCAGTTTTGCAGGCCCGTCTTCAGTGTCTTAACGCTGTGTTCTTTGAGGCTGCTAAAAATTTAAGGCTGTGAGACCCTGCTGGCAACAGGCAGTTGGCTGACATTACCTGCCCTTCATGGGGGGGATTATTTAAAAAGTACTCTCCTCATTCCCTGTCTCCCAGCTGCACCATTCCTTTCTATGTTCTTATTATGACTTTCTGATTTTTGTTATTTCCACGGTTTTTGTTGAGGCTGAAATATTTTCCCATCAAAATTTCTGAATCTGATCTTGATCTGCTGTCTCTTAATTAGCATTGTTCGATTGCGTTAACAAACACTTGAGATGCATTCTTTGTTGGCTGTGTACAGTATGCTACGGAATCGTGTTACTCAACCCATTATTGTGATATGCCTACTAACAGCGTCAGTGAATTTGGCCAGACTTTTGTTTCTGGGCTGCTATTTGCATGAACTTGCTTAATTTTCCTGTTCTGGGATGAGGATTGTGCCTTTTAGCACCAGGCAACCTCATGTTCATCGCCTTCTGAACAAAGCTTGATTTGCTTCGATTTTTTTTTTTTTTTTTTCAGTGCGGAGCAGATTGAGGGATATAGTGGGAGCATCTACCAACTGGAGGTACAGTGTACATTAAATGTATTTTACTTTGTTTGTGAAACCCAGGAGAGCTCAGGATTGTGGTAGTGAAAGTTAGCAATTTTAGGTTGCTGACTGGGGAGGAAAAAAGATCCAGGCTAAAAAGCGATGCAGACAAAGTTTCTGAATTATTACTTTGTGGATCAGAGACTTCTGCAATTTTTCTTGCAGAAGATCTTTAGCAGCAAAGGAACAAAATATGTGATCTTGATGCTTACAAGATTCTCCCATCTGAATCTGGTGGAAGTTTAAGAGCTGTAGGGTCTGACTGAAAATGTTACATTGCTTTTACCTTTTGACTTATCTGCTTGTGAATTACCCGCTGGATTCAGAGGCAACTGAGCTGGTTCAGCATGAAGCAGGCTGCGTTATGAATGGCCTGGCAGCACCCATGTCACTTTGGAAAATTGTCTCCTTCGTCAGGAGCATCTCGGTCATTTCTTTTCTCCACTGTAACTTAATTTTAGATTAATTTACATATAATTTAAATAATCAATGTTTTGGCTTTATGTAGGTTACCTTCCTCCCCCTCTATTAGGCTGAATAAGCCAGAGTTGACTGTAATTCTCTCCTGTTAACAATTCTGAATAAGTCAATATAGCAGTCTGGGGAAATTATGTGTTACTGTTTGGTTGGTCCTACATTTATTGTATTGATTGTGGATTTTCTTACGGCTGTGTTGGCTGGGCTCATTTTGCATGTTGTGCACTGATGGGGAAATGGAGAGGCTTGCCTGGGTGGAGTGTCTGAAGTGTCCAGGCCTTCTGACTAGGTTTATCTAAACAGGATTATAGGCACACTAAAAAAAATGCCTGGATCTGGGAAGCTGATTTTTACTTAGTAATACTAGTAATTCTAGTATCTAAGCATGACGGGGCTTGAAATTTTTGATAGGTCAGCTGAAAAGGGCTCTAGAAGTTGATTTTTAGAAAAGCCTTTCCTGCAGCCCAGGATGGCTGGGGAGGAACCATGCTGTATGGAAATAGCATCTGAGGATCGAGATTTGAGAGGGCTCTGGTCAAATCTGATCTTCCATCCATTTCTTTTTCCTCACTGCCCCCCCCCCGGAAGGAGAGCAAACTGAAGCCAGGATCACCACAGCAGTGTTTTTCTTAGATAGGTATGTCTCTTGTGCTGTGTAAAATACAGCAGAAATGGTTTGCAGAGTACTGTATGCTTCAGTTACCATAACTAAGTAAAAATGGGGAGCCCACAGCTGGGAGTGCTTGAAAACGATGGGTTTAATAGGGGGTGGTTTGGAGGACATGAATCACGTAGCCTTTGAGATCCCACTTTTAAAATAGAGTGACAAAGAGTTGATACCTGTGGAGACTGAACAGCCAGTGCTTTAATCGAGTTAGACTGCAGAATGACTACAGAGGAAAAACCTAAGAGAACAGCTTGATAGAGGTCCCAAAATGGGAACTAGGGAAGGACCGATGCACATGCATCTGGATTGCTGGGAAGAGAGGAGAGATGCATATTGGAGGAATGCCTTCGGCCGTTAATTTTGCTGAAAGGAAATGTTGGTTTGCCTTATTTTGTAAAGGCTAGTGCCATTTTGTATTAGAAAGAAATATCTTGCTTATATATTTATTCTGGTTTTGTGCTTAAATTGTAATTAAAACTATTAATCTGTTCTTTGCTAATTATAGTTGAGGTAGTGTTATGGCCATTTCAGAAATAAATAATGTCATTTCTCAGAATGTTTAGGGCACGTATGCGTTAATACTTAGATGAAGTATTGTTACTGTATGACTGGTACTACAGGGTGTAACAGTATTTATCTGTTGAAAAATGTTATTGCCTTGAGCCCAATATTTCCATGTATTGAAGAGTCTGTTCTGAAGCTGAAGTCAAGAAGAGTTCTGCTGCTGACCTCAGAGGATCCAGGATGGAACTGGTGAAGACAGAATATAGTTGAATTTTTATTGTTTGGTTTCTGTGTGTTTGTAGATAAATTCCTGATTTACTCTCTGATTAATTTCTCTTAAACCTTTCACTAAAAGACCTTGGAAACAAAGCTTTTAAAAAGCATAAAGGTGCATTGTCTTGGACATTGCATCTTTCCTTAGTCACCCAGTGTATTCTATTTCTATACGGTGGCATAACTTTAAACATTAACCCTCTGGAGGAGGTTGTTGTCTTTCTGTTTTCTCTGAACTCTGCAGTAGCCATGTTGCCCAAATGATGTAAACCATATTTCATATTTAAAACAAACAAACAAAAAACTAACTGAAATGTTCTGCTAGACTTTTACTTTCTTTGATCATGTATTATTCATATTTCCCAAAAAATTATTAAACAGAAAAGAGGGAATATAAATATATTGAAGTGCAACTGCTTTGTACCTCTCTTCTCTCAAAATTAAAACTCAAGCCAAAAAAGTCTCATCTTAAATGGCTTATACCCAGAATTCATCCAAAGTCAAAACTTAAAACAAATTTTCTTTTTGGTGAAAAGGTTCTTTCTGTTGTTTTCTTTCTTTTTTTTTTTTTTTTTGTTTAAATTGGTTTTATTAAACACAGTGGCACTCAGATCTCAGCAATGCAGCATGCACTACTGGATGAATCACACATATCCACAAGTTTAAAATTAAGTTTGGTTACTTAGTGTTTTATGCCTTCTCTTGCTGTATGAAATGGATTTATAATTTTGCGTACTCCTTGGCTTTATTCTGGAACTGTTGCATGTTTAACCCGTAGGTTTTTAATGCTTAGTTATTGATTCTAGGGGTGTTATGAAATACTTGCTTTGTTCAGTCAGGTTGCACTTTTAAGGGGAGGAAACTTTGGAGAAACAGGTAAGAGAGAATGTTGGGCAAGGTTGTTCTATCTTGGAGATACTTGTGGAAGGAACCAACATGGTACATCAGAAAAGAACCGTGACAATAAGTTAGCCCTTACTCCCTTGTGAAAGTTGCAACTCCTCTGACTTGGTGGTGCTGGAAAAGCAGCTCTGAAGGGACAGTGCTCCCTCTTCTGTATTGTTTCTTTCCATAACTTTCCTGTAAGGCTGTAAGACAACTGGGTAGGAGGAGAGGGGGAAATAGATTAATTTTCCCTTTCTTTTAGTTTGCTGATCTACTGTATGCTGTATGAACCGATGCTGTAAAGGGAGAATTCACTTGTGAATGGTCGCAAGTTTTAGCAGATTAGTTCTCTCTATTGTCATTACTAACCAGCAGTATACATCTGCTTTACTTCTTGGGAGAGATTGTAAGTTGACAGTCAGTCCTTTAAAATTGGCACTGTAGGAAGAGTTGTGATGCAATAACTATGGAAGACATGAGTATGTACAAAACTTCGTATGTTAAATTATGTCTGATTTGTTTTTTCAAGGGGAACCATTTTGCTAGCATTCAGAATTAGATACGTTTTGTTCATCTCTTTAGTGTGAAGTATGTGCTTCCCACGTGTACACAAAACTATTTAAAACTTTTCTGCAGTAGTCTTGCTTAGCATATCTGATCATGTGCATTTCACTTTCTTTTCAAGGCACGCTTACTGTGTCTTGCTAGTTTTACTGCTTTTCTGTTTTCATTTTTACAATCTTCAGTGTAACCTTTTTTAACTAGGGTTGCAGTTCTGTTGTCATGCTCTAGACAGTGTTTTGTTTTTTTTTTTCTTACCAGGGATCACGTGCAAGCAATGCAAGAAAGAAAAGCTCTTCATACTTTACTGGCAAAACGACAGGAAGATCTCCCTCCTAAGAGGATGAAAGATAGCTACTTGGAAGTTATTCTCCCTCTAGGAAGTCAACCTGAAATAAGAGAAAAGTATCTGAATGTACACAACAGCGTAAGGTAACAAAGCCACTGTGTTACACATACAGGAAAGTGTTAACTTTCATTTACTATGGATGTAGGTAGTTAATTGTCAAAACCCCTTGTATCTTACAGGTTTGGAAGGATACTGGAAGATCTTGACAGTTTAGGAGGTATGTATCTATGCTCTGGTAAGGAATGCACAAGTAATGCAGACAAAGTGAGTTTGAGTACTGTTTCGTGCTGTTTGGTATGATATAGTGTGACCTGAGAGAGGGAGTCACATCAGTGCACTATCTTGGAGGGGAAGGAGAAAAATAAAAGATACTGATGATGAAAGAGAAAGAAGGATGATAAAGAACAGACAGAAGCAAAATTGCTCAGTGTCAGCTTTTTGCTTCTGCCAATTTTGTAAAGGACCAGCTACAAGAATAATTTACTGAGAAGTGATCCCGGGTTATGAATCTGCATTGAGTGTTAAATAAGAAGAAATTTGCAGAGCGTGCGATTTCGAAGTAAAATGTATGATTTTTCTCTTAAAAAAACCCCGACAAAACAACACACAAAACCCAACAGATAGTGAAGGGCAAATATTTTGATCTTCCCTTTGGGGAGAAGAGAGTATAAGCTGGAAAGAACAGAATGTATCATTGAAAACAGATGAAAACCACACTCGATATAGATTCTTGGGTTCTGTCTCCGAATTGATGTTAAGGAAAGAAACAACTCAGCTGTTTCATGAGTTAGCTTTCTTAAATTTTTTCTCCTTTTCGTTTATTCATGGTCTTTAAAAGTTCAAGATCTCTGGCTTTTGTTTTTGCAGCTAAAATAAGTTCTGGGTTGTTAACGTAACTTGGAGACGCTTTTCTCTTAGAATGTCACCAGGTGACTTCCTTCTTTATCAAAGTTATGTGGCTGGTTGGGAGCCTTTTGATGGAGGTTTTTGACAAAGAATAATTAAGGAACAGGCATTTTTTTGGCAGAAAGACCTTCTGTGGGCCCAGATGGGCAAAATCGAGGAAGACAGAGAAACAATTGAATTCATGTCACCTATCTATCAAGGATAAAGAAAATAGCTAGGTGATTTATTTTTCTGGGAAGTGGAAGATGCTGGCTTCAGTACCTGTCCTGAATTAGAAAAGGAGACTTGAAACTATTGGCTACCCTCCGTTGATAGATGAGATGAGCCTGTTTTTCATCTGTGCCTTGCCTGTTTTCCCTGGAAGCCTGTGAAGATCTTGGGTTTTTCCTGTTGCAGCACAGAATGTCTTTGCCTTGTTTGCAGTCATACTGGGCTTCAGTCAGTTCCACTAGGGGTGTATTGTTTTGGGTTAATCAGGATTCTGTCCTAATTACACAATATTCAGGATGGTGGTCATTAGTTTTCATAGGAAACTGTAGCGTTTCATTCCTCCTCCCAGTATATTCTGTAATCTTGGCAAATATACTACATAAAGGTCTGATAGACTTCTGATCTTTTGTCTTTGGCAATAGGATTCTGATAAATCCCGTTCAGACTCTTACTAATCATATTGATGGCATGAGTTGATAGGCATAATAGGTTTTAGAATTGTAGCTTTAGTAATCTTAGGAGAAAAAAAATTTTAGATTACCTGGAACGACAGAGATCTTCCTTGTCTCTCATCTCATTTAAGTACAAACTTTTGATTTTGGAAATCTATGTCGAGTGAAAATCATCTGAGTACTAGAAAAAAAATCTTTGTAGCTGTGTATTACTCCAAGGAGTCTGTTTACTTGGATGTGCTCTTGTGAGCAGAGCTAATTAATTTAAATAGTGGTTTGGCTAGTAGTAATTACAGTGTGATAAATACCTCTGACTATGCTTTCATGCCTGTAAGGCACAGTTTGTCTAATCTGCATCTCTTTAATGGAATCAGTATTTGAAAATAAGTCCCCAGATAGCATGTATCCTTGGACAACCTGTGTGAAATCAAAATAGGAGGTAGAAGGATCAGAGATGGTGGGCTGCAGGGGTGAGAGGAACAGATTAAGTGGGATTGGAAGTAGAGGAGCGATGGGTTGACTTAAAGTGCTCAGTTAAATTTCTCTTTGTAGTAAGTAGCTACACATATAGCTGAGACAGCTGCTGAATCACTGTTTCCTTTATAGCAATCCTATGAGTTACATACATGAAAACGTGGAAGTCGCATGCACTCCTACAATGTGATACTTCATCTTTGCAGGTACTCATACTTCACAAAGATGGCTTTGATCTGCTCCACTGAAGTTTCTGTTAAAGTATAGGAGAACTGAGAGCTGACTCTCATTTTTGATCTCTCCACAGTTCTAATTTGCTACACTCACACCAAGCAGGAAATGCAGCCAAGATCCCCCTTATCAATAGTTACTGCCCTGGTGGATAAAATCAGTAAGTGGCAGTTTGATCAGTAAAAATGGTTTCACCTGTTTGTCTTACTCTTTGAGCAGCTGCTGCCTTCCCGTGGTTGTTACTGAGGGTACCTTCTTACCTCTTCTGTTTGGATCACTTTGGCTTTGAACTCTGATTACTGTGGCTTTTGTTGAAGTTAGAAGGGAAGAGGATTTTGTAGATGCTTTTCAGCATTTCGTATTTCCCTTCCTTTCAAAATATGACTTTCATTCTACCTGCACTTCTGTGTTTGGTTTTATTTTGGCACGTGACTTTCTTAATTTCATTATTGAACAGTGTTTGTTCTGGTGGAGCTGGATCTTGCTTTTGTCACATGTTCTGCTGAACATCTCTGTGAGTCTGCCATCTGTCTGCCACTTGTATGCCTACTTCCTCCTCCTCTTCTGGCTTTAGAAGTCTGGTAAGGCAGAAACTGCAGGCTGGCAGTGGGATCCCTTGCAACTGCTGTCATTTCTGGGTTGTCTTTTTGTTTGTTGCCATTTATTACAGAACTGAAAAAGGTATTAGAGAATCCAGTCTTTCTAATATTAGATGTCTCCAGTAACCTCTAATGTTTGTCTTGTAGATTTGTGCAAGAAGATCATATATCCGGACTGTGACATCAAATTCACAGGCAATGTCTCTTGGGTTGGAAGGACCTCAATGGAAGTAAAGATGCACATGCTGCAGGTTAGTTCCTGTGACTTCTCTCCATCCTAAAACAATCATGAGGTGCTTCAGGGTGAATTCTGAATGATGACATTAGCAGTCTAAATTATATTTTCTAGAATAACTGTTTTTGAAAGGCTTCAAAAAGCCCTAGTGTTTCAAGACCAAGACTTCCAGTGTTCTAGGTTCAGCAAGATACTCTGTTGCTAGTCTTTCTGTCAAGACATGCATTTTTCTTAACCAGCATTTTGTAATTAAACTGTGCCCTGGTTTTAGCTGGGACAGAGTTAGCTCTTCTTTTTAGCAGCTAGAAGAGCTCCGTGTTTTGGTTTTACTCAGAGGCTTGCTCTGAGAAGAATGCTGATAGCAAGTTGATGTTTGTAGTTGGCACTGAGGTCTCAAGGACTTTTCAGCTGCCGTGTTCTTGCCAGTGTGCAGGAGGACAACAGGATAAGGGGGAGCATAGCTGGGACAGGGAGTCCACGACTCTCCTTACGATTTGTACTTGGACTTAGGATTGAGGCCAAACTGGCCAATTAGTATTCCATATCATGCAGCGTCATGCCCAGTATAAAAGTGAGGGTCAGCTGGCAAGAAGGGCTTTTGCCCTTCCGGGACTCTCACTTTCGGACTCTGAGTGCGCTCTCTCTCTCGCTCTCTATTTCGGGGCCTCGCGTTCATCTGGGATTGCAGCTTCGGGACGAGATGGGCTTTGGGTAAGAGGGGGTGGTGAGCATCTACACTGTGTATTAAATCATCCGTATTAAATTGTTCCTATCTCAACCCACGGGTTTCCCGTTTTCTCCTTTCATTCTCTCCCTCATCCCTGGGGTGGGGGAGGGTGAGTGAGCGACTGTGTGGGGTTTGGTTGCCGGAGCGGCCTAACCCATGACAAACTGAAACACAGTATTCCTACAGAAAAAAGTCGTGGCTGTGCTTTGCATTTTCTTAAATAAGTTTCTCCCTGCTTTTTAAAAACTTTATTTTCCTTGTATCTATGCATTTTATAGGTTTATAAATTTTAATGTTGCTATTCAGATTCAGTATTAAATTGTATCTCTTGTGTTCATCTTACCTACTGTGTAGCATAATTATTGTAATAAGTTATTAAATACTAAATAATAGAAAATAAATTAAATGAAGAGTGTAACCAGGCTACACTGTGCATGAAGCAGAGGAATGAAGCAGAGTCCTTCACCTGGGGTATAAAAACCCCAAGCATCGCTATAGGCTCGGGGAAGAGTGGCTGGAGAGCTGCCTGGCGGAAAAGGACCTGGGGGTGTTGGTT